AACTGGATTGACAGGAGATCATGATGATGATGATGATGATGAAGATGAAAAAAGGTGGCTGAACAAAACGGCCGGTTTGCAGATTTTTTATTTTTCTCCCAGAAAAGGTCTAGAGCCACGCTAGTGGTACCATTGGAGTCCTCTGGTCAAGATAAGGTCCTCTAAGAAGTCTGGTAAGCATAGGAGCTCGTTTTCCCGGTATAGCAAGGCTGCAAAAGTCGTGGCAGCCATTTGTTTGGGGGTGAATCCTAGTAACGCTACCGCGTTACTAATAGTACAGGAACTTTAGCTTGAATTTGGAGCAATAACAAACCTTCAATCTGACTAGTCAACTTAAACTTAATTCATCCATTATACTGTTGATGATTATTGTACCAGTCCCAGAAAGGACAAAAATGTATTTGATGTCATCATAATTTGTTAACAATCATATTAATAAAGCATTTGCATGTCACTAAACAAGCTAAATAGAATAAAACTACTAACATCAGTTCATTTGTTTTTAAACTTATCACTAATATGCTTCATAGCAACCCCAGTAGAAGAAGTACTTCCCCCCAATATTCCACCAACACCAGCCCCTACTCCAGCTCCCACAGCAACACCTATTATAGTGCCAGGTCCAGGTATAATAGAACCAACTGCAGCTCCAATGCCAGCACCTGCTAGAGTTCCAGCACCAACAGAGGCAACAACAGCTCCTACTTCAATGACTTGACGGTGTTTTGCATATGCTTTTAAGAAAGAGCGAGTCTCAATGCTGCAACGATCAATACATGTGCCCCACAGTGTTTTCAACCAATTGTCTGTTGTAGGTAACTTCTTTTCGTCTTTTTTACCAGCTATGCAATATGGTATTTCCTGCAATACTTCTTCTTTAACAAGTTTCTTTTCTACAGAAAGAATTTTAACAACATGATTTGTACTCTTTAATTTTCTCTTCTATTGCAGCCTCTGGGCCTGCCTTCATAGTGCTTTCAAGTGTAAGGAATCGATTTGCTTGTGTCAATACGACAATTGTCCTCTCCCACATTTCTTTATTTAAGACAGAGGCCAGTTCTACGAACATGCGACGATTAGCTCTATCTTCCAGCTTGGTACATACGAGGATCAGATCATAATTATCATGCTCATGCTCATCAATTTGATACAAAATATTAGAATCAGTTCTGCCTTCAGTATCGCCAAACCCAATGGCATCATAGACTTTTATCTTAACGCCTTTGTACTCTCCTTCATAAGCTGTTATTTCTGATGTAACGGCTCTTGCTCCATGTCCAACCTTGGCTAGATCCTTCCCAAACATAGCATTGATGAGTGTTGATTTACCACAGCCAGTAGGACCGACCACTAATATAGTAACAGGCCTTCCTCTAGCACGCAGCTCCTGTATCTTAGGATCAACTTCTTTAGATAAAACAACACTGCCTTCAATATTTTCATTCCCATGGACTGTAGTCATCTCACTGCCATCTTTTGGTTCTTCTTCCATAGCTGAGTGTAGACTGACCATCCTTCAGCCTTACCAATGTGCTGTTTTGATATTTCTTAACTGTATTAGTGTATTTATATCAATTGATGTATAAATAGAGATTAGGTCAATTCACCCAATAACCATAACTGGCAGAAATCAAAATAGAAGCAATAGTTAATTACTAAAGCTAAGATAGAACCATCATTTCTCATCATCACTTAGTCCCATGCACTTAACACAAACAGCACGCCACTCACAATAATATGATATTCTTATAACCAACCCCCTCTTAATACTAAATTAAATAAATAAGAGGCTAAAATTCATGAGCACCTTAGGAGGCTTCGACCCATTAACCTCAAGGTGATAGAAATTCATTAAAATCCAAATTTGATTCGAATCAGTTCAAGCTTTCAACACAGCATAAGAACATGTATATGTATCGGAAAAAAATTATAAAAATGAAGAACTACCTCATTTTCAATTCTGGTGAAATTTGGCCTGAGACCATGTACATGTACTATAGTACAGGGACTTTTGCCCCAATTTTGGAGCAACTTTATTTTTTAAAAATCTAACTATGATCAAATGCAAGAATAAAATTACTATTACTTTGTTCAACTGTACCAGATAATGATAAAGGGGATTACCACAACACTTTATCAGTTCATTTCCTGTTAACAGTTATTTAATGGTTACTCCAGTGTTGTGTTAATATACTATAAGCTGACCTATCTATTATCAAGAGTACATTCTTGTAATAATTATGCTGATATAGCTCTATAATGTATTAGTATTATTATAGTTTATGTTGCATTAGTATTAGATTCTATTGTCATGAGTGTATAGGTTACTAATCAGTAGATGCATATGTTGTTTACTGATATTCAGTGGAATCAGTGCTTATCAGTTACTAATTATTAGTCAGTTATTAGTAGCTACACTGACAGTTTAAGTTATACCTACACTATATAAAGAAAAAGAATATCAAGCAATCTTTACACTGCAAGATCTCATTTGTTTGTAACATGAAGATAAATGCTATCGCTCTTTCATTGTTAATCAAAGTAGCAGTGTCTATACCTCTAATACCCCCACCTGATGATCAGTTACATATCTATGCACTACCAGTGGGGCAGGGTGACTCTACTGTAGTACAGTGTCCTAAAGCTGGTCCAGATGATGCTACATAGGTGCATTAATGGAGCATGTATCGTAGGGTTCCTTACTGGGACTAAACTCAACTTTTCAGTCATCACCCATTCACATTAAGACCACCTTAGCTACAAGGGAACAATATTAGTTTATTATAAGACGCCAGTCACTGCCTATCATCCCTGCCCTTGGTCCAGTTATAAAGATAAAGTTAACAGTGATTATGCTAACCCTCTACAATCAGAATCTGATGTGATTATACCATGCAATATCTTATTCAGTGTTATTCACTGCTTATTAGCTACTTATTGGCCTCGCCCAGCTTTGCGTAGGCGAGGACTAGGTACTCAGTTTGTCTGTCTGTCATTCATTCATTCTGTGTGCTAGATTTTGTCTTTGAGAATGTATATCTTTACAATCGTGTGCTCTAAACCTGTGAGAGCTTCTCTTCTGTTAGGAAAAGTCTTGCTTTACTGCTTCGAGATGTTTCGAGAACAGCTCTAGGTAGTACAAGCTTTTTAACTCACGAGAAAATGCCCAGCAATAGCGGTAGTACTCTGGATGTAAATGAGACTCTTTCCCAGTAGATCAAGACTATTTATTTATTTAATATGTGTGGAACTCTTTAAATCTTTCTTTTTGGTGAGTTATAGCTACTCGAATTTCATCCCGAGTGAAGTGCTGTAGCAGTAGTTCGCTAATCCATGGCTAGTCTAAGGATCCTAAACTCTATTAAGTCACTCAATCTATCTAGGCAACAGTATTTGTGCCATTATAACATGATATAGCGCTTAGAAGAAGAGAAAAAAACCTGAAGCTTCCCTCTCACATGGTCTTGCATGCTGCATTAATGCCACGCCTCCAAGCAGGACCAAGCTGGGAGTTGGCCCTGCAGCTTGCCAGTTCTGCAAGCATGCCAGAGCAAGTGTAACTGCAGCTAGGAAGCTAGCTGTTATGATATTCCCTTGGCCTCAAAAGCACACTTTCTAATTTTTTGCATAGCATGTTTTTGATAGATTGTGGCCACAACAATAGCTGTGGTTATGAAACCCATGATGTTTTTAAAATGAGAGTGCAATAAGTATAAATATAGTGTATAAATAAGTGATAAATCTTGAGATGCTAATAGGAATTTATGAACATGTTTTACCAATTTTTGGGATTCTAGAGTCCCATCATACTTTTCACACTTCAGTGCTTAGTCCAGGCTGTCAGCACTTTTGATCTATATCATTTGAAATATACTGGCTTAGGCTAGCTAAGCATAACACATCCCAAGCAGCTTTAGGGGCGAGGCCACGCACCTTTGGTGTCTCGTTATTATCAGTCAGTGAGTGGTAGCAAGAGTATTATAATATATAAAGAGAGTATCGAACGGCCCTATAGAAGACTACTGCATGAGGGCGTATTTGCTCAAAGTCACAATCCGCATACTCCAGTATACTTACCACATCACGTGATCCACCATGTGGCAACATTATCTGGCCCTTAGCTTTTAAAAACTTGGCAATCTCTTCCAATACAAGAAAGGAACTT